AACCCAATACATTTTTTTTAAGATTATATAAAACTTTAATATTTTAAGAAAATAGTGCCAAAAACAGCGTCTTTCTAAATATCCTAGGAAAGAAATTATTTGCCAGAAAATTAACTTTCTGTCCATTGTGCATTGTAGCAATATAGAGTTTCTAAAAAACAGAATAAAGTTTTTTAGTCTAGACATTTTGTTTAACACTCACAAACAAAAATCTAGCTGAATTTTTAATAATTGCCATTTGTATGATATTGTTCTTCTAATCGTAAAAATAGCCCTTAGTGGCAGTGTAGCGTTCAAAAACATGCGCATTAAACATATGTTATGATGGCTTATAGCCGCGTGTGGGTTCAGTCCATTATTTATTGCGTCTTTCTTTTTTTCCAGCTCGTAAATATTTTATTTTTGATAAACATTTTGATTACATTTGAAACATTAAATCATCATTGTAACAATATTTATCCATAGAACAATATATATCTCGGAAACTATAAAAGTAAGAATGTTGGGACGTGGCAATTTTTTTTTTGGATCAATCGATAGATATTAACAAGACAAATACATACAACCCATTTACATTAAAATTGTGGGCACCACAGATTTGGGCGGTTTGTGGGCGTTAAAGTGGGCGTGGCATCTTTGCGTAACAAACTTGCACTGCCTACAAGGCTACGGAATCTAAATCTGAAATCCCAATTCTCTATCTTTTATAGTTTCTGAGCAATCCGTGTTCATACCTACGATTTTTTGAAGTTTGTGGGCGGTTTGTGGGCGTTCAAGTGGGCGTGGCAAACTTTTTTTTGGGATAATCGATAGGTATTGATGAGAACAATACATTTCAGTTAAAATTTTTATTCTAGTATCAAAACTGTAGGAGCCACAGTTTTGGGCGGTTTGTGGGCGTTAAAGTGGGCGTGGAACATTGCTGAAACAAAATTGCGCTGCAAGCCAAATCTCAATAGCCTAGTCATGTCCGTCTGACCGAGCAGCATCCGTTAAACACTATTTTAAATTTTCTGTGTTGGGGAACGTAAAAATTTGGTGCAAGTTGTTATGCATAACGTCAGTTTCCTTGCTAAAAGTATATGAAAATGATTTCCTCGTAACTGCAATCGCATACTTTTTAGCTTGCCTAGCAGTAATAGCAAGGAATCTGACGTTATGCATAACAACTTGCACCGAATTCTTACGATCCCCAACACTTTAAATTTAAAATAGTGTTTAACGGTGGCTCATCCCGAATACTGAACTTGGGTATATACGTTTAAAATGAATCTTTGATGGCCGAACTCGGTTTATCAAAACTCGAGTTAGAAAATAAAAAAGTGCGAAAAACGTTTTTAACACTTTAAAAAAATGGTACTATAAAAAAAATTTTAAGTGCCCTTTTCTTAATCGGGGAGATGTACCTTACCGGAAAGCAAAGGTTTCCTTGAAGGCGTACTTTATCGGTTTTTTTTAAACTGGTGTAATCAATATTTTGCAATTTTTTTATTGAAAGCGTTTTAAATAATTTTACTAATCCAGTTATAATGGAAATTGAAGCCGTTTGTTAATTGTGTTCTGTATTCGTGCTTTGAAGCTATTTTGATGTCTTAGAAATGTGAAAAAATAGTGATATTAAGAAAGGGGTTATGTTAAGGGGTTGTCTTAAGCCTAACAAAAATTTAATTAAATTATATATTTTTATACCCGTTACTCGTAGAGTGAAAGGGTATACTAGATTCGTCGAAAAGTATGTAACAGGCAGAAGGAAGCGTTTCCGACCCCATAAAGTATGTATATTCTTGATCAGGATCAGTAGCCGAGTCGATCTAGCCATGTCCGTCTGTCGCTGAGATCTCGGAAACTATAAAAGCTAGGCTATTGAGACTTGGCATGCAGATTCCTGAGCCTTGTACGCAGCGCAAGTTTGTTGTGCCACGCCCACTCTAACGCCCACAAGCCGCCCAAAACTGTAGCTCCTACAGTATAAAAAATAAAAATTTTAACTGAAATGTTTTGTTCTCATAAATACCTATCGATTGACCTAAAAAAAGTTTGCCACGCCCACTTTAACGCCCAAAAACTCCAAAAAATCTTAAGTATGAACGTCGATATCTCGGAAACTATCAAAGATAGAGAATTTGGATCTCAGATTTAGATTCCGTAGCCTTGCAGCGCAAGTTTGTTACGCGAGTATGCCCCGCCCACTCTAACGCCCACAATCCGCCCAAACCTGTGACGCCCACAATTTTCATGCTAGATAACAAATTTTAACTGAAATGTATTGGTCTCGACAACACCTATCGATTGATCAAAAAAAAAACACTCTAACACCCATAACGCTTTAAACTGTCTACCGCCGGTAGGTGGCGCATTTCAATCTCGCTTTGCTGCTTGCATATTTCCATTTCCCTTTGGTCCCTTTAGCTGAGTAACGGGTATCTGATAGTAGAGGTACTCGACGATAGCGCTCTTCCTTGTTTAAAACATAACTTTTGACGTTTTACTTACTCGCCGAGAGCAGTTTAGCATATACAGAGGTCTGAGTATGATTTGCTTGAGGAAAAGTTTAAACACTAAGAAAACTTATACAAAGCCATATTTAAAAAATTTAAAACTTCGTGGACTTGAGTACATAGAGTGAAAGACCGATTTCTCATAGCGAATCCGGCTTGGCCGGATAAAGTCATACCATTTGTTTGCGGTGTCAGAAGAGGAAATTCTTTGACTGTGCTAGCTTTGGCTACTCAATCTAAACTTAGAGATAAAGGTATATATACCTTTATATATATAAGTTAGAGCTAAAGGTATACATACCTATATATACCTATGTATACCTTTAGCTTATTGAGTAGCAAAAGCTCGCTTCGAAAAATCTAGATCTTGAGAGAACAAAATTCTTTGACTGTACTGACTTTTGTTACTCAATCTAAACTTAGAGCTAAAGGTATATATAAATATATAGGTAAGTCGAAGTCGAAGTCTAAGCTTAGATCTGCTCAGGAATCTGCACGCCAAATCTCAATAGCCTAGCTTTAATAGTTTCCGAGATCTCAGCGTTCATCCGGACAGAGAGAGATATGGACATGGCTAGATCGACTTGGCTAGTGATCCTGATCAAGAATATATATACTGTATTGGGTCGGAAACTCTTCCTTCTGCCTGTTACATACTTTCCGACGAAACTATTATACCCTTTTACTCTACGGGTGTAATAATAACAAGAAAAGAATGTTTTGATTTTTATTTAATATGAACTGTTTTAATTCTGGAAAAACCCATGGAGGTCCCACGTCAAAATTTGTAGGGCTTAACAAGGATTATGTACAGAACATTATACTAATTTTTTATAAAAATTAAAAATGCAGATTTGCAGAAAACCGCGATTGAATTTTTTTTTAAGTTTGAACTATAAGTTGCTTGGAAACTGTTATGGGAGTTACTTTTTTCTGAAAGGTTGGCAAAAATAATAATTAGGGAGTATTTTTTTTTTCACCATGTAATTTAAAGTTATACATAATCTTAACAAAAAGGCATCGATATATCTTCGCTTCTGTCAAATGGATAAATTTTTTTATTTTTTTTTTAAATCTTATATAAATGGTATAATATCGTGATAAAAATATGAAACCGTTTTGAGACCATAAAGAAAATCTCGATACGTTTCACAAAGAACTTATATAGGTATAACCTGAATATTATATCAAGTTATATACTTAATCTCACGGGTTTGTTGTTGAAAATATGCAATATTTTCACGTTTATTTCTTATTTTAGACACGTTTCATATGGAAAACATTAAAGTTTGTCTAGTATTCATATCAATTGGATAAGGAGACTCATATCAAAATTTGTAATTTATATGTTTTTTTTTATCATATTGATATGAGTTCGTATTATTTTGATATGAAACAAGGAAAAACGCTATTGTAGAGTACCTCGACAATCAGATACCCGTTACTCAGCTAAAGGGACCAAAGGGAAATGGAGATATGCAAACAGCAAAGCGAGATTAAATTTTGTGCCACCTACCAGCGATCTCAATATATGGTTATGTGGGCGGTAGACAGATTTAAGTTGTACGGGCGTTAGAGTGGGCGTGGCAAACTTTTTTTGGGTCAATCAATAGGTATTGAGAGACTTATACATATCAATTAAAACTTTTTTTTTCAGGCGGCGCAGGCTTTGGCGGTGGTAGGTAAGTCAATAGGTATTGGTAAGAACAATACATTTCAGTTAAAATTTTTATTCTTGCATCAAAACTGTAGGAACTACAATTTTGGGCCGTTTGTGGGCGTTAGAGTGGCACCCTGCTGAAACAAACTTGTGCTGCGCAAGAAACTCAGGAAACGTCATGCCAAATCCCAATAGCCTAGCTCTTATAGTTTGCGAGATCTCACCGTTCATACGGACATGGCTAGATCCATTCGGCTAGTGGTCCTGATCAAGAATGTATACACTTTGTGGGGTCGGAAACGCTTCGTTCTGCCTGTTACATACTTTCCGACGAATCTAGTATACCCTTTTACTCTACGAGTAACGGTCATAATAATCATAGAAATTGGAACACTCGTAAAGGCATTATAGGGTGGGAATAATGGGGAAAACCCACCCCTTGAACTTATTCTACGCACTTTGTTTTACATTCAGTCTAAGTTTTCAAAAAAAATATAGAGTAAGAGAAATATTTGGGAGATAATATTAAGCTCTAGGGTGTCTTTCACCTTCTAACTCAGTCTTGTTATTATGATAGAACGAACCCCACACCTTGCCCATAAACGAAAATTGCGTATACCGAAACAAAATGGCGTCGCGAAAAACTTATTTTGTCTGAACTTTTTCGGAAAGAAATGTTCGCCACAATCTTAGTTACCTTTTTCCGTCGACGTTCTCATGGCATTCCTTGGAGTTTTGGATATATCAAGCAACTCAGTGTCCGATTTTTTAAGAACATCTTTAATCCAAATTTGTTTGGTGGCCCAGGTTGTTGAATCATTCTTGATTTCATTCATCTTGTGTCTTATACATGTGCGTCTTTATATTACTATTTGATTGTTAAATCATTTTGTTCAAAGTTGTAAAACCTTTTTTAAAGATATCTTGTAAATTTTGTAGAGATCATTTCGTTTATAAATGGGTATACTTCATTTTGTTCTCAAAATCAGACTTTAATAGCAGTCTTAAGATTATTATATACTCGTTATATTTATTATATTTTTAGACAAGAATTTTCATTTGACGATTGATTTTTTCCTTAATCATGTTCTTTTTGATGATTCTAATAGTTTTTTTCAAATACTTCGATTTTTGCACAGAGTAGGTTTGTTGATAGGCCTGGACATTTTGAAGAGGCTGCTGCTGATAGTTACGGTGTTGGTGATGACCGTCTTGACCCGAGCCCTTATTCATGCGCATTTTTCTAAATGATCTCAAAATACCGTTCATTAAGAAGTCGGTCATTTTAGAGGTGTGGACCCGTCACACACTCACAACACACGAACAAACACGAAACAGAGTAGAATGGGAATCGAAAAATGTTTACATCGCCGCTCACGAGGTTTTCTGTTCTATGGTGTAACGGAGACTGGTGGGTGAGTTCCCGAAAAATCTACCTCAAACCAAAGATAGACCCCGAAACGGAAAAACCAACCACCAACAAGAGTAGTTCCATTTGATCTGAGTTTCCTCGCAAAAGGAAAATGTTTGAGAGCAAAATTAGGGGAAATTTCCGAGTGTTTTTTTGTTTGAGTGCTTTGTGACTTTGAGTCTTCAAATTTTTCGGTACAACAAAATTTCATTTAGATTATGGAACGAGTCAAACTAAGTCCAATTGGTAACCAAGCTATCGGTATCATTTTTAGAAAGTAAAAGTATTATTATCATTGAATCTGTTTTAAACTGTTTATAGGTACCCCAAATTAGTCTACAAAAACCAAGAACATTGTTCTTGAGCTGAGAAACTTCGTTTTTAATAAGCGTGTTCTTAATATCAGAACGAAATGGTTAGAAAAGAAAAACTTAAAATAAGTCGATTTCGTTCCATTTTCATGATGATATTGGTTTTAATTCAAGATTTTACATACTGACTGGACTTAATAATTTAGTTCGTAACTAGGACAGTTGAGATAAAAATTGTAGCACATTAATAACATTTTGAACTTAAACAAGGGAGAACGCTATAGTCGACGGAGATGGAGATGAACACCCCCCAACAGCCCCATCAAGTGACGATTTTTTTATTTGCTTATAAATATTAAATTGATCAGATTCTAACAATTTTTGACATGAAGATAGATATTGATAATTAAAACAAAATTTCATTTAAACTTTTACAAAAAATAAATAAATGTGGCCACTAGACAGGTCAGCGTTAGAGTTAGTGTGGGCGTGGCACCCTGCTACAAGAATCTGCATGCCAAATCCAAACTTTCTAGCTTTTATAGTTTCCGAGATCATATCGTTCATACGGACGGACAAGCAGACGGACATGGCTAGATCGACTCGGCTAGGGATCCTGATCAAGAAAATATACACTTTATAAGGTCGGAAACGCTTCCTTCTAACTGTTACATATTATCGGACGAATTTAGTATACCCTTTTACATCAAAATTAAAGGGTATAAGTATTTCCATCTCTTTTTAAGAACATTTTTAACATAGATGAGAACGTAAGAATTCTCTATGTGCATAGTTCTTATCGTTACTATTGAGATATTAGTTTTGAAAACATACAATTATTTACCAAAAAATATTCCTAAAATGTAAAGAATTTGCATCAAGGAAATGAATATTGGAGGGACAATCGATTACGACTTTCAGGGATATATCCGAAAGTTCATATTATTAAAGCCGACGAACAATTTCAACCTTCAACGACAAAACGTTTATAGGAAACCTTCCGAAAAGAGATTAAACACGAGAAGCAAATGTTGAAATACAAAAGTTTCAGTGAGGGAAGGGTCAAGAAACTTTTTCGGTTTTTGTTGCTGATGTTTATTCGGCTGTGCGTTGAACTAGCGTAAAAGTTCATTAACATTCGACACAAAAACTATTTCTGAATTTGTTTGGCTGGAGTCAAGAGCATGATAACCGATCCCTCGCTTCGGTCGCTCGCACTCTTTTCGGTACCATGCTGAAGGTATAACCGACCAAATATTTCGGGGGAAAATATATTTATCTATTATGAGTAAGGAAAAGAGTAGGAGAGGGGCAGCTGTTTCTTAGAAAAGTTTAACTGCCGTTACTTTTTTAGAACAGCTCTGAAATAAAGTGAGTTAAAACTGGTCTTTGGGGGAAATTATCGTGTTTGAATGACCAGTTAAGTTGCTTAGTTATCGGGTAGAAGAAAAACTAAATACAAGCATTTGCGTGGGACTTTAACTTATTAGACGTAGTTATCTTTAAGAAACAATATAAAATTAAAATATATATATTAAATATCTATACGCGGTATTTAAGGGGCAAGGATAGTTTGTGACCGTAGCGGCTAAACTAAATGAATTAATTACTTTCAATGCCATATTTAAGAAATTATAATTAATCTGTTCGACACACTTTATTGGTCGCTCACGAGATTTTTTAATGTAATTTATATCTCAAACAAAATTGCGTGTCAAACGCGTACCCATTTTTTTGCTTTTCTGTCTTAGTGGTACTTTGCAACAACTCAAAACACCCCCTGTGTTGCAAGGATAGTTTTTTAGGTAATATTTGATAACACGGATTTTGTTGAAGTAAATATTAAGTTTCCATGGTGCCAGTGATCCTGTCAACGAGAACTCGATGACCCACGATGTAGTATTATTAAACTAAGCGGTCCAAAACGCGATTGGGAACGTCCGAAAAATTAGTTGACACCTCCGAATTTTCAGTGAATAATGATATGATAAATCAATAAAGCAAAAAATTAAATTTACATAAGTGGGATCCTCCTCGTCTAAAAGCTAAAGCCCAAAATTATATCATTAAGAGAGGTTAAAAAAAAACGTTTTCTATTTGACATGAAAAGATTGGTGTCCAAAAGAGTCCAATCAAATTTAAAAAAGAAAAATTTTTAGCAGAAGTAAATTTTAACCTTTTTTTACGCCAACACTAGGTCAAGGATATTAAAAAAGGTATTTTGACATTTTGCAACATTTTGCGAGGACTGCAATAGACTTCAAAGTGGTGTTGGATTATACAAAATATCAAGCTTTCCAATAATACTACTTTCGTGGTGATGACTTTATATTTACAGTTCTTTGTCCAACCAAACTTTTCTTACCATTTTTACCCCACTCTTTACTGATGTAGGACTGCGATGTATTTTTACATAACTTTAAAAACCCTTGGTGTTTTCGCTTTAAATCGATGATCCACGATTGCAGTTTTCATATTCAGTGGAAGCCTTCTGAATGAAACTGTGTAAACACCTTGAAGCTTTGAGTAGATTAACGTTAGAAACGAAAAATTTATAATTGGAGTGACTGCATACTTTTTGGGGCGACATTTTTCCTGAAGAAATGTCAAAAAACCTGACCTTGTTTTCTTTTGGCCTATTAAGTGCCCTACGTACAGAATTTTTTATAAATTTTAAATTAGTTCGATTTTTTACTTTTTACTGCCTAAAGTTTATGTTTCTGTTCTTCTAAAAGTCATAATATCAGAGGGAGCACCTAAGACTGTTAATGTTTCTTTGAGTATACTCAAAATACCCTTGTAGAGGGTTATTGATTTCAGTCAGAAGTTTGCAACGCAATGAAGAAGACGTTTCCGACCCCATAAAGTATATATATTCTTGATCAGCATGACTAGACGATTCGATGTCCGCCTGTCCGTCCGTTTCTACGCAAGCTAGTCTCGGAATAATCGGAAAAGAAAATTTAAAAAAATTATATCTTTGGTGTTTTTTAACATAGGAGGAGGTTTTCTAAGCTTGGAAATAACATTTTTTAATTAGTTTTGAATTTCAAATTAAATTTTAACAAAATCTGACGACTATATCATATATTAGCTGCCATAGGAACGATCGGAAAATTGGTGGGAAAATAATATGAAGCAAATTATAGCTTCGGTGTTTTTTAACATATAACCTCCTACGCTTGAACATAACATTTTTTAATTAGTTCTGAATTTTGAATTTAACTTTATCAAAATCGGACGACTATATCATATAGATGCCATAGGAACGATCGGAAAATTGGTTGGACAATAATATGAAACAAATTATAGCTTCGGTGTTTATTAACATATAACCTCCTTGGAAATAAAATTTTTTAGTTAGTTTTGAATTTCGAATTTAATTTTATTAAAATCAGACGACTATATAATATTGCTGCCATAGCTGAAAATAATATGAAACAAATCATAGCTTCGCTGCTTTTTGACATATTATCTTATACTATTCGGAATAACTTTTTTTGTATTTTTAAGAATTTTAAATTAAATTTAATAAAAATCGGACGACTGTAATATATAGCTGTCAAAGAAACGGTCAAAGAATAAATGAAATAAATATTTTAAAAAAAATTGTGCTTTGTTGATTTTTATCCTATTTTCGTTTATTTTGGGATATAGAATATTTTAACTTTTCAGCATTACGAATTTACTTTTGCACAAATTTAACTGAAGCTAGCAACAATCCTTAAATTTAACGTGGTGCTACTAACATTGATTATTTCTTATAACGGCAAGGGTATAAAAACTTCTTGCCGAAGTTAACTTCCTTTCTTGTTTAAACATAAAATTCCATTACTTTTCCGAATATTCCTATGGGAGCCATAAGATCTAGTTGTTCGATACTTCTAAAATGGTGTTTAAAATTCTGAAATATTAAAAGAGTATTAGAAATTAAAATGGCAAAAAACATCAAAGTCAACATTTTTCTTACAATTTTTTAAAAATAGTTTTTTGATATAGTTGTCCGATCCGACTAGTTCCGAATTATATATTACCACTATTACGGTAACTTCAAAACTGAAAAACTAGTTTGCGTAGAAACGGACAGACGGACAGATGCTGATCTAGAATATATATACTTTATGGGGTCGGAAACGTTGCAAGCTTCTGACTGAAATCATTATACCCTCTACATGGGTATAAAAATGTCGTATTGATATATCATTTTTTAAAAATGTATTATGTATGTATTTTTGCAAAAAATGTAATTCATTTTGTAATTTATTAATTTACTTTTTTGCCATTTCGGAGACATTTAGATATTTGACAAATCCTTCTACGATTTTCTGCAACAGTTTTAACTTAAAAGTGTTGCAGGGGTGTTCATAACCTAACCGTTTTTCACAGGAATTTCGGTATTGCCCTGTTTAAGCTATTTGTCTTTTTGAAATCACAAAAGAAAAGAATTTAGGTATGAAAAGCATTTTGGTCATTTTGAACGTCATTTCCGATCAGTGTGCCCTATTACGAAATATCAAAAATGTATTTTGATAATTTGATATTCGTTATATCAGAGGATAGAAATATCACGATACAGATATTATTTTTATTCAAAAAATGTCGATATATTGATGTTTTGTTGTATCATCCCTTCAACTTTGTGAATGGTCCTGCTGGCTGTCCTATCGCACTTTCCAGACCTATGAACAGAAGAAGGAAAAAAAGACTGCACCCGCCAGTGGTACACTCATTCCCAAATTTTTGTTGTGCTTATTTTTTAATAACACTTCATGTAAATCTTACCATGGGCGAAAGTCAATTGAGTTTCACAAATCACACACAAATAAAACTAATGGTAAGTTTAAAAAAAAGAACAACTTTCCACTCGAATTAAAAATATATTTTTCATGTTTTTCTAATTTCTGTTCACAAATGTATTTGGCTTTAAATAATGATCACATTAATAACATTTAAAAAATTAAAAACAATGAAATCGCAAAAGTGAAAAAAAAACAAAAAACCGTTAAAGTGTACATCAAATCTAACAAACTCTTCAAAATATAAGAAAAATAAAATATTAAATGGAAATACAAGAAAATAATTAAGCAAGACTTCAAAAACTATAGAAAACTCAAAAAACTTAAAGTATAAACAAATTTAACAACAACTCATCCTGAAAAATATTTTAAAAACTCAAAACATTACCTAACAATTGAATCATGATATAAAAGAAGTATACAAATTTTTGATTTATTTTTTAAATACAAACAAATAAATAAAGAAACCTGAAAAAGAAATCTAATGTCTACAGCTTGGAAATATCATTTTTTAATTAGTTCTGAAGTTAACTTCGGCAAGCCGAAGTTTGTATACCCTTGCAGTTATAATTATTAAATTTAACAAGGAAGAACGCTATAGTCGAGTACCTCGACTATCAGATACCCGTAACTCAGCTAAAGGGACCAAAGGGGAATGGAGATATGCAAGCAGCAAAGCGAGATTCAAATGCGCCACCTACCGGCGGTAGACAGATTTAAGCGTTATGGGCGTTAGAGGGCGTGGCAAATTTTTTTGGATCAATCAATTGGTATTGACGAGACCAATTTATTTCAGTTAAAATTTTTTATCTAGCATGAAAATTGTGGACGTCACAGATTTGGGCGGTTTGTGGGCGTTAAAGTGCGCGTAGCAAACTTTTTTTTTGGGTCAATCGATATGTATTGATGAGAACAATAGATTTCTGTTAAAATTTTTATTCTAGCATCTAAACTGTAGAGTCACAGTTTTGGGCGGTTTGTGGGCGTTAGAGTGGTAATCTGCACGCCAAATCTCAATAGCCTAGCTCTTATAGTTTCCGAGATCTCAGCGTTCATCCGGACAGACAGTCGGACTCGGCTAGTGATCCTGATCAAGAATATATATACTTTATGGGGTCCTTCTGCCTGTTACATACTTTCCGACGAATCTAGAATACCCTTTTACTCTGCGAGTAACGGGTATAAATATAAGGGTGTCATTGGGACTCGAAAGATTTCTAACCAAAAAACCAGAAATATTTATATTTCTTACGGTAAGAATCAATATAGGGTTGGGGTAATAATTTTTAGAAAAAGTTACGCAAAACAACTTTCCTGCACCTGTATATATTTGAAGACCGTCTGTACGCACCCAAAAGGTACGTTCTGTACGCATTATTTATATAAAGGATTGCACCTATATACACAAAAAAGGTTCATTCCGTATGCATTTATTTGGAATGCGCCTATAAACTGTACCCAGGAATGCACCTATACAACTTTCAAAAAAGGTATGTTTGTAAGCTTTTTAAGGGAATACATACAACAGGTTTTTAATTTCATATTTTTTTATTTTAATATTTAAGAACGCAACTAATTTTTTAACGGAATGTCGCCTCCTCTGTACGGGGAGTTGCTGCTTCCTTCTTATTTTTGTACATTTATTAATTACTCAGTCCAGTCCTTGGTGTGCCCATCCCTTTTTTGAGATTCTGAAAGATATAAAGAAAATTTTAAATTTATATGTATGTACATGTTTTTATATATTACAAATATACATATAATTTGTACATATCTACAATTGTACATATGTATTAGGTGTACCTCGCATTTATGTACTTATGCTTTGGAAGTTTTTTTGTTTTTACTCTATTGTGTTCATATTGAACAACATTATCTACACCTACTTACCTGTGAAAATGTTGATGTAAAATTGTTGGCAGAAAGCAACAAAACCGTGTGCTTTTTTTACATGTTCCCTTTTGTCTTTATTATTCGTTTGTCAAGAAAACATTACCGAAAAACGATCGTAAAAAAACACCTTTGCAAACCTTCGGATTTCATTGCTGTTATTTACATTCTCAGCAAAATGATCCAGGATGATCATATTTTAACACATACAGACGACCCAGCAATGGACTGCACCTAGCACGCACATTTGCCTTGAAAAATTTAAATGCGTGCCGTTTTGTGTAAAAATAACTGCGACCTAGAACTATTTTTTTTGGAATGCGTTTCCGAACTTAGGGCTGGGGTGTTTTCATTTTTCTAACATTTTCATACACATATGGGCATTCCACTAGAAAGTCAACCAAGCTGCAGCGGTCGGCACGAAATACAATGACATTTTGTCTTTCATCTGTGTGAGTAATTTGTACGCCCAGTCGTAATTTCGGAAACGCATTAAAAAAAAGTCGTTATAGATGTCGTGATGTAAAATAGGCGGCAGAGAGCAACAACATTTTTCCAAAATCGTAGAACGAGCATCACTATTTATACCTGTTACTCGTAGAGTAAATGGGTTTACTAGATCCGTCGGAATGTATATAAGTACACAGAGAAAAAAACGGAACAATACCCGTTTGATATTGTCTCCTCAATTTTCACATATCACCCTTTACATATCAAATTGATACGAATTCATATCAATATGATACGGATTCATATCAACATTTTTAATTGATATGATTTTGCATCATTTTAATATAAATGCGTATTAATTTGATATGTTTTTCATATCAAACGTAACATCGAAAAGTCTTCGAAAAACAAGTATGACTGTGCTAATTGATCCGAAATATATAAAAAATAAATATTTACAGCGATCTTATGGGTTTTCAATATTTATTTGTTTATAAGATGCAATAAAGTAAAAACAAAACTTATTAATATTGATATTACAAACATATCAATTTGATATGAAAGTATATAAGTTTGATATGAAAGCATATCAGTTTGATATAAATGCATATCAGATTGATATGAAAGCATATCAGTTTGAAATTAAAGCACATCAGTTAGATATTAAAAAATACCACAATTTGGTCACAACTTTGATATGTGCGCATATCAATCTGGTATGAAAAATACCAAATTGACATGTTCGAAAATATCAATTTCATATGTTCGAACTCACGAATATGATATGGCAACATAACGGATCAAAATTGATATGCAAAAATACCCGATTGATGACCAGTTTTAGTATTTTATTTTCTCTGTGTATGATCTCATCAATACCTATCGATTGACCCAAAAAAAAAGTTTAACACGCCCACTTTAACGCCAACAAACCGCCCAACAGATTTAGAATCCGTAGCCTTTTACGCAGCGCAAGTTTGTTACGCGAATATGCCACGCCCACTCTAACGCCCACAAACCGCACAAACTTGTGGCGCCAACAATTTTCAGCATCAGGGGTCTGCGTTGGCTTTATCTTGGAGCAGTTTAGGTTTTTATGGATGTAATTGGCTTCTGCAACGTCTTTTCCGGAGGCTCCAAGGGCTCAACATTGCATCTTATGTTGGAAAAAAAAAAAAATTAACATTTTTTCAGCGACTGATAATTTGAGATGTTTGAGACTTTTATTTAAATATATTATGAATTTGTTTTTGTACACAGAAGTAAATATAGTGCTTTCGTATTGTTATTGTTCCTTTTGAACGAATTTTAACAACAAACATCTCTTATTTTTATGCTCTTTTACAGATTTGTATTACTAAACATTTATATTCACCTTTTGTTGTTTCTTACTTCAAAAACTAATATTTGTGTTGTTTTTTTTTCCAACCACTGTGTTTTTTTGGGAACAATGTACTTCCCTTATCACTGTGGGCGGCAGTACACGTAGTGGCGAAGCGCGCAAGAGAGCGTGCGAAGACAACTACTATATATAGCCGAAGAATTGAAAATCTGACATTGTGGTCCGATCGTAACGAGTGATTGTGAGTGACGGAAGGTATCGCAAAAACTAAGAAGATTGCATACCAAGACTTTCGAAATATAGATTTGCTAAGGAGAAAAGACGGTGAAAGTGTAAAAGTAAAAATTTCGAAAATTGGAGCTGCTGGATACGGTGGGGAGCTAGTTTTATTCTTACGCGTCGAATGACACCTCATTTGTTGAAATCCAATGTCCCGTTCAAAAGTAATTAAAAAAACAAGATTTTCTTCTTCTTCCCAAAATGAAAATGTTTGTCCCTTTCTTTGTGGGTTTGTATGCATCCCATCTTAGTTTTAGGGTTTTGGAAACCCTATGGGTGTATAAAGTAGCTTGAAATAGAAATCGTTTGTTTTACGACTTTTGGAAAAACCCGCTAGTTTAGCGGAAAATAAAAAAAACAGATTTTAAATGCTTATAGTATCTAAACAACTAATGCTACAGAAACGTGCTATATATGTCTGAAAAGATAATTTAATTTGCTAAATACTATATATTTTACTATATACTATAGTAAAATTGTCTGAATATAATAGATTTAGAGCTATGATAAAAAGTTATTTTTTAAAACCTCTTTTTGACTATTTTCTCAAAATTGAGTCAAACGATTTCTTTTTTAATTGTAACTCATATAGCCCTTGAGATTCCTTAACTTTTTGCCCTAAAAATTACCGTTTGGAAGCTCCGTATACGAAATATATCATACTTATTGGAATAAACAAGAAAAAACCCATTTGATTTAAAATATTCTTATTAGATTTTTTCAAACGGAAAATCTGTTATGGTTTTAGGGTCCCTTACTTGCATGAAGCTAATCGAAATAGGAAACTTGATCTATTTGTTCTACAACTTTGAAAAAACCCGCTAGTTCGGCGGGAAATGTAAGAAACGACAGATTTCTCTTGGAATCTGAAACTTTACAGCCCTTGAGATTCCAAATAGGTAATTGAAGTGATAAAACTTGTTATTAAAAAGTTTAATATTCATATTAGATGTTTCATTCTTATTAGAATGTGAATGCAAACAACCCATACCTTATTAGAATAAAGTTAAGCCGAAGTGAAACGTGAAAGTTTATTAAAGTCATTTTTTAGAATTATATATTTATTTACTTAAAACTAATGAAAGAAAAACTTTTCTACGCTAGAGTGTCTAATTTATGGTGGCGTTCAGCTAAGATTAGGGGTCGAATCTGTGTGTTTGGTTTTTGGATGACTTCTAGTTATGGTATTGGGGTACTTAAACTCTTGTGCAAAAAAAAACTTCTGATATCAAACAAAAACACCTCTTAACGGGGTAAAAAGTGGTGGCGAACGCGCCTTTAACAAAAATTTCTGATTACATTACATTCGATAAAATAAATAAACTATATTAAATTAATGTATTCGGCACGCTACAACAGAAAATTTACGTGTAGGTAAATAAATATTTAATGTTGCGAGCCGAAATCATAAATTTAATATAGTTAAAATATTTTATCGAATGTAATCATTTTTCGTCACAATTGTTGATATCAGAAATTTTGGTTAAAGGCGCGTTCGCCACTACTTTTTAACTCGTTAAGAGGTATTTTTTTGGATTGTTGATATATGTACATTCAAATCTTTTTAGTTTCATCGCTTAAAAAAATATTGGTCTGTTAGAGACTTAAAAATACACTTGTTTTGTTTTTGTTTTTTGGTCAATTTAGAGCCAACTGAAACGAGTAAACGCAAGTATAAGACGAAAATAGGGTGCGTGCCACGTCGTAAATGACAGCATTTCAGCATGCGTTCTTTCATTATGAAATGGCATCAAAAAGATGTTCCGGAAGTGATGAGTCTGTCCATTCTTTTTACACAGGTGCGGGACAAAAAAGAATGCACCCGTTGAATGCTTCTGGAAGCATATACCTGGAATGAACCAGGAAGTAACAACCTAAACACATTCTGGGTGCACTCTTTTTTAATGCACCTGGAAGCAACATACTAAACTCCTTCTGGGTGTACTCTTTTTTAATGCACCTGTAACATGTACCCAGGGGTGCACCTAGAAGCATTCAAAAACCAAATATCTGGAAGTTTTCCCCAGGAATACATAAAACTGGATTTCAATTTCATACTTATTTTTTATTTCAATATTCAAGAACGCAACTAATTTTTGATCGGAGTAACTTCCCTTCTGTACGGGGCTTCGCTGCTTCCTTCTTGTTTATGTACTTTTGTCATTTACGCAGTTCAGTCCTTGGTGTGCCTATTCATTTTTTGCGATTTTGAAAAATATAAAGCAAATTGAATATTATATATTTTGAAACATGTGTATATATATTACAAATATACAATTAGGGTATTCAATTGCGTTGCAAACGTTTGAAAAGTGTAAAAGTGTAAGCAGTTCCAACAACAATTTCCATACAAAATAGTTTTCAAGGCCTACAACACCCCAGCCTATGTATACAAATCTGTTGTACTTGTGTAGAAATAGGGGGTTAATAATGGGTAGGAATTTTATCTAAAATACTAAAAATATACTGAAAAGTTGGGTTTAAATCCATGGTAATGACAGTAAAAGGAAAGAAACAAATTTGAATTTTAAATGCAAAAGAAAAAAATGTGTCTTCTGTAAAACAAAATAATTGAATAACAATTTCAATGGAAGAAAAACCCACAAGGAAGAGAGCCAGGGAGGTCGAAACTAAGCGATGGTCATAGCCTTCTTCTCACAAAAATTTAAAAGTTAGCTTTCTTTTGTACGTCAATATCCTGCAACGATGTTTTAAAATAGAGGGCGTTCACAATTCTCGTCTGGCAAACTTACAAAGTTTACACTTTTGCAACGCAATTGAATACCCTAAATATATTTATTTTGGCACAATAACACTGTTGTATGTACAATTTACATACAAATAATTATTATTTTATTTGTTTAATATGTTTTTAGTTTGAATGTTCAATGTACATGTACTTTGTAATTTTATTGTGTTCATATTGAACTAAATTATCTACACTTTACTTACCTGTGAAAATATTGATGTAAAATTGGTGACAGAAAGCAACAATCTTTTTCAAAACATGTGGCTCGAACTTCACTTTTCAGAACTAAAAATGCAACTGACGAGAAATGCAACAGACAAGAAAAACCGCTCGCTTCCTTGCATGTTCCCTTTTGTCTTTATTATTTGTTTGTCAAGAGAACAGTACCGAAAAAAGACGATTGTAAAAAGTTTTTTTTGAGTTTGGTTTTTTTACATTCCCACTAAAATACACCTGGATGCACTATATTGAAATACACCCAGACGGTGCCCAAAAGACTGCCCCCAGCACGCACATTTCCTAGGTAAATTTGCATACGTGCTGTTTTGCGTAAAAAAGATACGACCCAGAACTATTTGTTTCGGAATACTTTCCCGAATACCCGTTTGAGCATGCTTCTGGATGCATTATTCTGAAACACATCTAGAAGGCACCGCAATAGAATGCACCCAGCATGCACATTTGCGTCGGTAAATTTGCATGCGTGCTGCTTTGCGTAAAAAACATACGACCCAGAACTATGTATGTTTTTTTAAGACACGTTTCCCAACTTACGACTGGGTGCCTTCCAGAAAATGAGCAACAAATACAACAACGGTCTCGCAAATCCGTTGTTGTTCTGTTCCTTTTGGGATGTCCCGTTTTCCCAATAAGTCTATGCATGTTCCGTTGCACTTCAAATCCAACTATGCAAATCGTTATATAAAAAATATTTTTAAAACTTCGCATAATAATAATAAAACTATCAATTTTGTAAAAAATACAAATATTTTAAAACCCACACAAAATACTTTAATTGTTTGTATTTACATTTACGAAAAAATGTCGAATTGTTTAAAGTGCAAGGGTTCACAAAAATCTAGCTATTTTAATTGTTGGGCCTCTTTACCTTCACCCGCATTTTTTCAGCGGAGACGTGCGTTCTTTTTGCGGTGCCCGACTGCGAGGGCGTCTGCTTCGCCACCATTGCGTTCGGCTCTGTCGGCATCGAAGGCAGCTCTGCCGACTTCGCATGATAATTTCGTGATGACTTCGTGATGATTTGGTGCTTGTGCTGAATTGTGGAACTGCAGGTTTGTTTGCTGCATAAATGTCCCAGCCAGGAAACCTTCCCTTTTGTTGGGCTCTTAGTCCTCCAACCACTGGGTTTTGTTGTTGGTGCTATTGCAATGTTATTACTCATTGAAGAGAGCGAAATCTAGTGAGGTTGGGGTGGGAGATTATGAGTAGAGAGAACGAGCCAGTGTGCGCATAGGTTATGTGTTGTCAATAACTCGCGCACGACCTCCTTACGACAGGTTGGGTTTCTGCTACTCAACGAGCGAGTTGAAATCCGATGCACGCCCTCCACGTGTAGTTCAAGTTCAAGAGAACAACGAGAGCTAGCGAGAGTGTGTGTGAGTGGCGACCGCTTCACACAATGTGAGTGTGAGAGTGCAGCCGATCTGTGTCGCTGCGCTGCTTGCGTCGACGCTGCAGTCTACCTGTTTCTCTACGCTAGCCAATTTTACATTGCATATGTACTTTTATTTCAGTTGACTTTTGAAGTATGCTTGGCAACCAACAAAAATAAACATACATATATATAAAATTTGATTTTTTTTTTGCCTTTTGACGCCTTTCTAACATAATTTGTGTAAATACCACCGTTTAAGAATTATGGGCAAACGTTCTTTTTATTTAGATTTTTTTTCTAATTTCCCAATTGAATTGATGCGTGCCGAATGAAAAAATTTAAAAAGTATACTTATTTAGTACATCGTATAATACATTTTCTTACATACACTTTTGTTTGTCAAAGGGTAGATCGTCACTGGATTTTTACCTCGTTAAGAGGTGTTTTTGTTTGATAAAAGCACACACAAAAAATGGATAAGTAAAATTTAACAATATAATAGTTTTTGTTTGATAAAAGCACACACAAAAAATGGATAAGTAAAATTTAACAATATAATAGTATAACCCTAACCTAACCCTAATCCCTAACAATCGAGTTGTCAATATAACCAATCAAATATTTACTCCTACGTAATACGCAAACACAAAGGTTGCTATAAAATGCCAACCTGGAACCAACCATAAATTATAGTCAAGTACATTTTTTTATAGTATAAAATTGATCAAATTATTAATTAGATTCATAGACACGTCACAGTAGCATGGTAACTTATAGACAAAATAAAAAAACTAATTTCTAGTTGCACCTTGAAACTTGCACAGTGACTTCCAGCTAGTGTGGAAGTATGTTGAAGACTTAAGAGTTTAAGTAAAGTCTTGGGAGTCTAAGTGTATGAGACGCTAGACCTAGCTAGTTTGGAGAAAACTTGTTAAGTTGTTGTTGCATTCTTTTGTATGGAAGACTTTAGGTTGGGATAAATATTTTTGATAGTTAATCATCTATTGACATCTATTGACAAAATACACACTACGTGTGTTACGAACGTAACTATGTTAATTGTGGCTTAACTATTACATTGTAAACAAAGCCAACGAAATTTTTTTGTGTGCATAGATAACTCGAGATATCGAGAAATGAGTGTATTACCCTTACAGAATTGCCATTGTTTTCAGCCAGGGGTTAAGGAACTTTGAAAAATAGCTCACATATTTTTTCGAAAAGTGTGGAGAAAAGAAATCCTAAAAAAATCTTTGAATGAGTTCGAGTGTTTGTGCAAGTAGCTCCTCAAAATCACAATGCTCTTTGTGGGCGGGTATCTAGATCCAGCACTGTCAATACATACCACTTTGTAAATACCTCAATATCTTCGCTCTTTGTCCGCATCAAGGTGATCACAGTCGTTCCCGTTGTTAAAGAGAAGGAATTCGAAGTAGGTCTTTACGGAACTTTAAAAGCAATATTCGTACACTCCGACTCAAGTGAACTTTTGGGAGGACTTCCCAAAAGTCTACAAAAAATTAAAATATTAGAAAAAATTGTAATTTCCTATTTGCAAAAATTGTTATGAATCTTGTTGTGTTATTTCTTGGACAAATTAATAGTGAAATCACTACTAATATCGTTGAAAAACTATTTAATTATACCCTTGCAGAGGTTATATTGATTTCAGTCAGAAGTTTGCAACGCAATGAAGGAGACGTTTCCGACCACATAAAGTATATACTTGTATGTTCTTGTTCAGTATGACTAGACGAGTCGATCTAGCCATGTCCGTCTGTCCGTCCGTTTCTACGCAAACTAGTCTCTCAGTTTTAAAGCTATCGGGCTAAAACTTTCCCAAAAGTCTTATTTCTTTTGCAGGTAGTGTATAAATCGGAACCAGCCGGATCGCACAACTATATCTTAATAATCGAAAAAAAAATATTAAAAAATTATATCTTTGGTGTTTTTTTACATATAACCTCCTAAGCTTGGAAATAACATTTTTTAATTCGTTTTGAATTTCGTATTAAATTTTATCAAAATCGGACGACTATATCATATAGCTGCCATAGGAACGATCGGAAAATTGGTGGGAAAATAATATGAAACAATTTATAGCTTCTGTGTTTTTTAACATATAACCTCCTACGCTTGGAAATAACATTTTTTAATTAGTTCTGAATTTCGAATTTAATTTGATCAAAATCGGACGACTATATCACATAGCTGCCATAGGAGCGGTCGGAAAATTAGTGGGAAAATTATATGAAACAAATTAAAGCTTCGGTGTGGTGGGAATATCATTTTTTCTATTTTTAAATTTAATAATTATAACTGCAAGGGTATACAAACTTCGACTTGCCGAAGTTAACTTCCTTTCCTATTTTTTCCATGTATTTTCTTGATTTGTTTTTATCGGCATTTAAAGAGTAACATTGCTAATAAACTCGTAAAAGTTTATCCTACTTAAAAAAAATAATATATGTAGATAAACAAACAAACATCCTAAACTTTTATACCCTTGCAGAGGGTATTTTGATTTCAGTCAGAAGTTTGCAACGCAGTGAAGGAGACGTTTCCGACCCCATAATGTATACATTTTCTTGATCAGCATGACTAGACGAGTCGATCTAGTCATGTCCGTCTGTCCGTCTCTCCGCCCGTTTCTCTCAGTTTTAAAGCTATCGGGCTGAAACTTTTCCAAAAGTCTTACTTCTTTTGCAGGTCGGAAACAGCCAGATCGGACAACTATATCTTATAGCTCCCATAGGAATAATGGGAAAAGAAAATTAAAAAAAATTATATCTTGGGTCTTTTTTAACATATAACCTCCTAGGCTTGAAAATAACATTTTTTAATTAGTTTTGAGTTTCAAATTTAATTTTATCAAAATCGGACGACTATATCTTATAGCTGCCATGGGATCGATCGGAAAATTGGTGGGAAAATAATATGAAACAAATTATAGCTTCGGTGTTTTTTAACATATAACCTCCTTGGAAATACAATTTTTTAGTTAGTTTTGAATTTCGAATTTAATTTTATTAAAATCGGACGACTATATAATATTGCTGCCATAGCTGAAAATAATATGCTTTTTGACATATTATCTTATACTATTCGGAATAACTTTTTTTGTATTTTTAAGAATTTTAAATTAAATTTAATAAAAATCGGACGACTGTAATATATAGCTGTCAAAGAAACGGTCAAAGAATAAATGAAATAAATATTTTAAAAAAAATTGTGCTTTGTTGATTTTTATCCTATTTTCGTTTATTTTGGGATATAGAATATTTTAACTTTTCAGCACTACGAATTTACTTTTGCACAAATTTAACTGAAGCTAGCAACAATCCTTAAATTTAACGTGGTGCTACTAACATTGATTATTTCTTATAACGGCAAGGGTATAAAAACTTCTTGCCGAAGTTAACTTCCTTTCTTGTTTAAACATAAAATTCCATTACTTTTCCGAATATTCCTATGGGAGCCATAAGATCTAGTTGTTCGATACTTCTAAAATGGTGTTTAAAATTCTGAAATATTAAAAGAGTATTAGAAATTAAAATGGCAAAAAACATCAAAGTCAACATTTTTCTTACAATTTTTTAAAAATAGTTTTTTGATATAGTTGTCCGATCCGACTAGTTCCGAATTATATATTACCACTACTACGGTAACTTCAAAACTGAAAAACTAGTTTGCGTAGAAACGGACAGACGGACAGATGCTGATCTAGAATATATATACTTTATGGGGTCGGAAACGTTGCAAGCTTCTGACTGAAATCATTATACCCTCTACATGGGTATAAAAATGTCGTATTGATATATCATTTTTTAAAAATGTATTATGTATGTATTTTTGCAAAAAATGTAATTCATTTTGTAATTTATTAATTTACTTTTTTGCCATTTCGGAGACATTTAGATATTTGACAAATCCTTCTACGATTTTCTGCAACAGTTTTAACTTAAAAGTGTTGCAGGGGTGTTCATAACCTAACCGTTTTTCACAGGAATTTCGGTATTGCCCTGTTTAAGCTATTTGTCTTTTTGAAATCACAAAAGAAAAGAATTTAGGTATGAAAAGCATTTTGGTCATTTTGAACGTCATTTCCGATCAGTGTGCCCTATTACGAAATATCAAAAATGTATTTTGATAATTTGATATTCGTTATATCAGAGGATAGAAATATCACGATACAGATATTATTTTTATTCAAAAAATGTCGATATATTGATGTTTTGTTGTATCATCCCTTCAACTTTGTGAATGGTCCTGCTGGCTGTCCTATCGCACTTTCCAGACCTATGAACAGAAGAAGGAAAAAAAGACTGCACCCGCCAGTGGTACACTCATTCCCAAATTTTTGTTGTGCTTATTTTTTAATAACACTTCATGTAAATCTTACCATGGGCGAAAGTCAATTGAGTTTCACAAATCACACACAAATAAAACTAATGGTAAGTTTAAAAAAACAACAACTTTCTACTCGAATTAAAAATATATTTTTCATGTTTTTTTAATTCCAGTTCACAAATGTATTTGGCTTTAAATAATGATCACATTAATCACATTTAAAAAATTAAAAACAATGAAATCGCAAAAGTGAAAAAAAAACAAAAAACCGTTAAAGTGTACATAAAATGTAACAAACTCTTCAAAATATAAGAAAAATAAAATATTAAATGGAAATACAAGAAAATAATTAAGCAAGACTTCAAAAACTATAGAAAACTCAAAAAACTTAAAGTATAAACAAATTTAACAACAACTCATCCTGAAAAATATTTTAAAAACTCAAAACATTACCTAACAATTGAATCATGATATAAAAGAAGTATACAAATTTTTGATTTATTTTTTAAATACAAACAAATAAATAAAGAAACCTGAAAAAGAAATCTAATGTCTACAGCGGGATTCGATCCCCATACAGCTTAGATTGGCAGTCATGTGTTATCCTCTAGGCAGTGTTGCCAGATTTTCCAAAGCGAAAGTGGCCAAAAACTTTCTGAAAGTGGCCAGAAAAAAAAGCTAAAAATGGCAAAAAAAATGGATAAATCAATATAATGTTCGTTTTTAACAGATATATCCATGTATTTGAGAATAATAATCTAAGATTACTTATATTTAAAAAGGAACAAATTTATAAGTTAATAAAAAATAAATTAAAAAGGAACTTGGTTTCATTTCTTATCAAAAATAAATTAAAAAGGAACTTCGTTTAATTTCTTATCAAAAATAAATTTAAAAAAAACTTGGTTTTAATATAAAATAAAAATCAAAAATTAAAATTAAAAATAAATGTTAACAAGGTTTAATTACTTTAATTATACTTATTATTCGATCTAGTTCATCAGCGGCATCAACATCTGAGTATTTCTCTTTTCCAGCAATTTGCGTTAAATACTTATAGGGAAGAGCATAATTTTCGCAGCATTTTTCGTGTCGCGTAGTCCATATCTGTTAAAAATTCTGATGTTTATTATATCAATTTGTGTTTCCATTAAATATATTATATTTTAAACTAACCTTATATACAAAATCGCTTTTAATGTTTTTAGGCTCATGGCGTTGCGTAGTTTGCTCTTCACAATTTTCATCTGTGAGAATATTCGCTGGACTTCCTGGTTCACGGTTTTCGTCGACTGTCTGAGAAACGGCAATCTATTTTTTGGAGTAACTCCGCCCATCGCACCAACATGTTTTTTTAAGCCGGCTTGGTGGAGCACATCATAAATTTTGGCGCTTATTGTTGATTTGCAGTACGCGCAATAGGCTCTTTGTGGATTTGTACAAGCCCTACGACTCCAGTCTTTAAATTCTTCATCCTGCAGCCAGCCATCACGAAAACTTTGCTTATATTGTACTTTAGGTATCTTTAACACAGCACTTAATCATTTTAACAAGCCAAGCACACCGCAAAAAATGTAGAGGGACCAAACGATCTCAAATAGTTCACATATGCGAAGCACTCAGTTCCGATATCTTTGTGAACCACTGTTAATCGGAATTAGCTCAATCAATCCAAAAATGTCGAAAAAATAAAAGTTACAGACAATTTTAAAATTGGATACAAAAAATAAAATGACTTTGTTTTTGGCTAGCAAATACAAAAAATGCAAATATTTTTCCAGAAATAGTCATTTAGTGGCTAACCCGGCAGCACTGTCTCTAGGCAAAATGGCAAGCAGGCCCACGGCCGACTAGATTCCAACTAGAATCAAGCAATCAATGCTAGAGCCCTCCATACGACAGAATTTTTTGTATGACATGTTCCTCCTTTGTATTCATTTTCTTTGCCCTTACTCTACAAGTAACGGGTATTAAAAGAAGAGAAATAGTTATTGTCGATGGCCTCGACTATTAGATACCCGTTACTCAGCTTAAGACAATGAGAGAGGGATGGTGTTATGCTTATAGCAGCACATATCTTCTTCTTCCATAGCGTCACTTGACCTACAGTGCCAACATGCCTATAGCGCCCCTAGCGGCTTGGTGGCGTATTAGTAAAAACAGCTTATTTGCTGCGTGTGGTGTGCAATCTCTATTAAATTGCCATATATTGATTCTTATTTGGTTATAACTTTTTAATGACTGATCCGATTTCAACATGGAAATGGCTCGTTCGACTTGGCTAATGGTGTCCATTTTTCATTAGTATGGATTGCCATTTCATCAAGAAAAGATATACTACTGTTGGCAGCAAGTAAGGTGAATTTGTTTGTTATTCGATTTTTGTAGTGTGGGTCACTATAAATTCCTTCCATCCGGCCAAACATTTAATAAGGAATATTACTTGAGCGTCATGCGTCGTTTGCGTGAAGCAAGTCGTCTAAAGGATCAGAATTACGGGCAACAACAACAATGTTTAGTTTTTGCATAACTCAAATTTCTCTCGTTCTTCGTGACTGTTTCACCATAAATTCGACACATATCGTTCCGCAACCACAGTATTTGACTGATTTGGTTCCGTGTGGCTTCTGGTTATGCCCAAAAGACCAAAAGACCACTCCGGGGTACGCGATTGAGAAGGTAAAAAAGAATCGAAAAAGCGCTGATGGCTATACTGGAAAGTGACTATTTGGCATGTTTCGAGGATTGGAAAAATCGTTGGCATAAGTGTATTTTATCGGGAGGGGATTACTTTACAGCGGGTGAAATTGATTTATATAAAAAAGATTTTTCATTTTACAAACAAATTCACCTTACGAGTCGAAATTATTAAAATGTACTACCGAAATTCGGAGTCAGTGACCTCAACTTTAGTCTCTCACACGTCTTTCTCAAGCGTTGGACATCTCTGTGACGAATTTTGAGAAAAGATCTTGGCCTACATTTTTTATACAAATTGACGTAAGAACTGAAGCCGCGATTGGTGCAGTAACAGCCGATTTATGCTTGAAAATCGTCAAAAAATGTGTCCGTGGTGGCCATGCAAAAGAAATCGAGTTTTATACATAAAACCTAGTACTCACATCGACGAAAATCGCCAGCTAACCATAGGAGTGAGCGAGAGGCAAATACGCGGCTATAGTTTTTCGTCGGGTTTTTTTTCATCGCGGTACTCAGATGAGGAAATACCTGATTTAGCGAGTGAATTTCGATGAACGCCTTTAGCCGCAACCCAAAGAATAAGAAATGTAATCTTTGGCGGTGTTCGTGCAAAAGCGGTGTGGAAACTAAAAATTAAAAATTGAAGGAAAACACCAAAAACGCCTGCAGAAGGTCAGTGCAGATGAAAAAGGACACCTAATCCAAGGTGTTGGCCATTATTGTGGGACTTCACCGGGAGGAAGCAATACCACAACAGGGCAAATCCTGATGGAGTAGATGCACTGGAGGATCCCAGTGGGATTTCGCTCTCTACATGGACCTACCAGACGTGTCCTCGCAAAGTTCAGTACAAATAGAATTATCTTTTTAGCACAACCCCCAGAACGATCTTCGCCGAGCTCTCCATTGGGGAACCACGCTGGAACCGCGCTGGAAAGATGGCGAAGCATCCGTGGGAAAAAAAGGAAGCAACATACAACTAATTTACATCAATAAAAACATTCGTTGAACATTCCATTTATTTTTATGCCCGTTACTCGTAGAGTAATAGGGTATACTAGATTCGTCGGAAAGTATGTAACAGGCAGAAGGAAGCGTTTCCGACCCCATAAAGTATATATATTCTTGATCAGGATCACTAGCCGAGTCGATCTAGCCATGTCCGTCTGTCTGTCCGGATGAACGCTGAGATCTCGGAAACTATGGGAGCTAGGCTATTGAGATTTGGCGTGCAGATTCCTGAACCGCCCAAAACTGTGGCTCCTACAGTTTTAATGATAAAATAAAAATTTTAACTGAAATGTAATGTTCTCATCAATACCTATCGATTGACCCAAAAAAAGTTTGCCACGCCCACCCTAACGCCCATAAACCGCCCACAAACTTCAAAAAATCGTAAGTATGAACGTGGATATCTCGGAAACTATCAAAGATAGAGAATTGGGATTTCAGATTTAGATTCCGTAGCCTTATACGCAGCGCGAGTTATCTTTTGCATTGCCTTTATAAATTCTCTTTTTGAATGTCCTTCTATTTTCTCAATACAGTGCGCTTAATGACCCTACTACTGACACTACTTCATTCGTTATTTTACCAATTCACTTAGTAGTATTTATTCTTAATAAAACAAATCGAAAAACAGCAAAAAAATTTGAACAAATGAAGTTTTAAACCGAAAACCGTTAATAGTGCTATTTTTGTTGCCGCATAATTTTGCTACTTTTTTTATAAATGTTTCTTAGTGGCAAAATCGTTTGCATTGTGGACGTAACCACCTTTTTTTTAGTTACTACATATGTAACCCTACTTATTACGATTGGAAATATTGCAAAAAAGTGCCATTTTATGTCGCAACTGTATGTGATTTTGAAAGTTCAACGCACTAGACTGCTAGACCACCGATTTTCAAATATAAAATGTGGTTTCAGACGATTTTTTGTTCTAAATAATAGAACAATTTGGCATTTTAGAATAATTAACCCTACAAAATATTTCCCATGTCGTTTTTTCCTATTTTTAGGGAGATTTTTCTTAATTTTAGAAATATTTTTTTTAAGTTAAGAAAAAAATTTTAAAATGCAGTAGTAGTAAAATCAGTTAAAGTATTTCTGTTTAGGTGAAAAAATATCCGAGGCTTTTTAAATACTGTAGGTAAGTTAGATTCCATTCCAATTAAAATGCGTGTAGAAAGTCATCACTCAATTTTATTTCCGCGACGGTCCAAAATTCAGGGCCTTTCATATAATCGGAAAGAAATCCAGCGGAGATGCGTACATTTTAATATCGAACTGTGGTAAGGCGTCGGTCGAAAACTCCAATAAGTGCCAGCAGGTGGAACGCATCTACGACAAGTCATGCTAGCGCGACCCAAAAAGAAAGACGAATAAAATCACCTTGCCAATACTCGCGATAACGATACCAAAATACCATACCATTTTGGTTTTTCTTTATTATAGGTATTTTTGTTTTTGTGCCGTTAGTCTACAATTTCCTGTGGACTGAGATTAAAACAAAAAATAATTTTTCCTAACTTACTTATGTTGACTTTCTTATTTTAATGGTAAATTGCCTCAAATAAAACAAAATTTTTTTTAAATGTATTTTGATTTTTTGTTTCAAAGGTAAAGCGCCTTAAAAACAAAGCAAGTGCCCTAAAATGTAAACAAATTTTAATAAGAAAACAGTGTTTGGACATGTTTGTTGGTTGTCGGCAAACATTTTCTGCGGGGTACTTTTCCTGGAATTTTTTTTAGGATTATTTGACTTAGTGCCTTTTTTTTAATAATTTTAGAGGGTGAAAGTGGGCAAGGCAAGGTTATTATTCGGCCGCTCAACGCTTAAATGTTGGTATACTCTAATTAGAAATCGTAAAAACTGAAAGTAGTCATTAAAGAGAATCAGGGAAAGAAACATAAATATCAAACAACTTGCTTTTTAAGAAAAATATTTGTGGATGCTGCTAGAATCGAACTCACGACCGCTGGGATCGCAGTCAAGAGCACTTCCGCTACACCACAGACACATCGCGCTAGGCGACGCCCAAACAAACCGCCCACAAACTTCAAAAAATCGTAAATATGAACGTGGATATCTCGGAAACTATCAAAGATAGAGAATTGGGATTTCAGATTTAGATTCCGTAGCGCAAGTTTGTTACGCGAATATGCCACGCCCACAATCCGCGAAAACCTGTGACGCCCACAATTTTTATGCTAGATAAAAAATTTTAACTGAAATGTATTGGTCTCGTCAATACCTATCGGTTGGTCCAAAAAAAAAATTTGCCACGCCCACTCTAACGCCCATAACGCTTAAATCTGTATACCGCCGGTAGGTGGCGCATTTTAATCTCGCTTTGCTACTTGCATATCTCTATTTAGTTGAGTAACGGGTATCTGATAGTCGAGGTACTCGACTATAGCGTTCTTCCTTGTTTTTAAATAATTATTTTAAAGTGTTTTAAAATTTTTGTTTGCTTTTGCACACAAAATTGTTTAACAATAAAATTCTAAGAACTTGCAAAAAAAAAAAGAAAAATGTTGACTCTTTGTGGGCTTGAACTCACACCATTTAGATATTTTGAAAGGTCAACCCATTAGACCGCCAGGCCACGGATTTTCAAATTTGAAGGTCAATTTTCTAGTTTCAAGGGCGATTTTGAATGACTTTTTGTTCTACAAAATATTCCCATTTTGCCCTAACTACGAGAAAATATTAAAAGCATATGCTCAAAAAAATTCGCCTTAAAAAATATAACAAAATTGGCTTTTTAGAAAAATTATCGCTTAAATATATATTTTATGGCGATTTTTCCTTAACTTACGCCGATTTTTCTAAATGTTAGGGCGATTTCAATTTTAGGGCGATTTTTCTAGTGTTTCTAAAAATAATTTTATGAGTGTAGTAACATTTTAATAATCATATTACTATTTAGTTAAATAGTTTGTTTATAATAAAAAAACAAGGAAGAACGCTATTGAAATGCGCCACCTGCCGGCGGTAGACAGATTTAAGCGTTATGGGCCTTACAGTGGGCGTGGATCAATCGATAGGTACTGACGGGACCAAAACATTTCAGTTAAAATTTTTTATCTAGCATGAAAACTGTGGGCGTCACAGGTTTGGGCGGATTGTGGGCGTTAGAGTGGGCGTTGCATATTCACGTAACAAACTTGCGCTGCGTACAAGGCTACGGAATCTAAATATGAGATCCTAATTCTCTATCTTTGATAGTTTCCAAGATATCAACGTTAATTTTTACGATTTTTTTAGGTTTGTGGGCGATTTGTGGGCGTGGTTTTTAGGTCAATAGATAGGAATTTATGATGATTTCAGTTAAAATGTTTATTCTTTATACTGCAGAAGCCACAGTTTTGGGCGGTTTGTGGGCGGTACAGTGGGCGTGGTACATTGCTGAAACAAACTTGCGCTGCGTAAGAAGCTCAGGAATCTGCATGCCAAGTCTCAATAGCCTAGCTCTTATAGTTTCCGAGATCTCAACGGACGGACAGACGGACATGGCTAGATCGACTCGGCTACTGATCCTGATCAAGAATATATATGTATACTTTATGGGGTCGGAAACGCTTTCATCTGCCTGTTACATACTTTCCGACGAATCTAGTATACCCTTTTACTCTACGAGTAACGGTTATAAAAAGTGAGTATTTGCATAAATTTTACAACAACTTACCATATAATTGATGGGAAAAATCCGTAAAAAGTTATTTATTTTTATATATATCTGTGGCAGTTTCGCCGACTTTTGTAAGTAGCGACCGAGCACGCAAATCTACCATAGACAATTGTTTTCCGCCAAAACTTTTTCACTGCGTCGCGTTCGACAACTAGACCTGTTCCCGTACCCGCAATTGCTGCGAGAGTTCTCTCTCTCACTTGACGATGTTTAATTACAAAATACACGGGGACCGTTAGAAGAGGAACACTTTTGTTTTTATTTTCCGTTTCGTTGTTGTTATTGTTATTGCTGGCGCTGCTGAAAAGCTCTAGGCATGCGATCTTGATGTCAAGCACTCGGGGGCAGTCGGTTTTCGTTTTCGTTTTTGGCAGTGCCGAGCCACTCGCTTACAACCTTCGCGCTTTGATATTATAAATTTAATAGATTCAAGTTTAGAATCGTGCTTTTCTTTTGCCTCTCTGAAGCTGAGCGTTGTTTTTGATTTCCGCGAATGTATGTACATATGTATATAAATATGTATGTTTCTAGTCACGAGTGTGGGTACCAATGTGCGAGTGTGTGCGTGTAATTGCTGTTTATTATCTACTGGGCAACTAGCAATAGTTGTTTTTATCTCTGCGTACATTTACACGGCACTTTAAGCAATATTGACCTAGGTTGTTATGTATATACATATGTGTGGTAAAATATGTACCTATAACGTAGGAACGATTTGATATTCAGCTTCACTTAAACCATTTGATGCTTTGCACTTCCTACATGGTTTTACTTTTGTCAACTCTCCAAAAACTTGTTTAATTTCGTTAGATGTTACGTGCACACAACATAAAATAATTGATTTTAAAATATCACTTGCGTTTGAAAATACAAAAATATCATTATTTTTAAGCCTAAGCCGCTCAAAAACTTGTCTTCGTAAGGCAATCAAGATAATTCGGTAGAGCGATTGTGTTCCTTGAAATTTAAGTTTCTAAAACTACTCGAGGTCCAAGTTCCCGGAGAACGTCCATCCGCGTTGTCAGCTCGTCAAATAATACAATACGAGAACTGAAAAATTCGACGAGAACAAAGCTCGCAGAGGCAGAGGGAGCAGCGTCGACTGCGCAGTCGGCGCAGAATGAAAGTTGCTGTATGTGTATGCGTGAACCGGCATTTGACGCAGCTGTTTCAAGCACACACACTACACAAGGAACTCTTTAAAGGTGGTCCGCCTTCGCAGTTTTTGTATTATATTATTCGCAATTGTTGTTGATGCTTCTGCGGCGGCGGCGGCGTTGCCGACGCCGACTGCGACAGCAACGCACGCAGCAGAGTTTTACTTACTCAATATAATGTTTGTTATGATATCTTAGCACACGTAAAAAATGCCGACATTCCGGTGACCGTTGGTTTTGAATTAAATTCTCCATGGGCTCGTAGCTTTCCATTTTTATCGCCTATGCTGCCGCTCGCTGGATGACGTATCCGTCGGAATTCTCTGAACGTCAGATTTGTTTACAAAGAGTGTGGATGTGATGCAGCCAGGAGTTGCCAGTCACTGCAAAGTAAGTCCAACTTGCGCTGCGCACAAAGCTAAGGAATCTAAAAATGAAATCCCAACTCTCTATCTTTGATAGTTCCCGAGATATCAGAATTCATATGGACGATTTCTTGAAGTTTGTTGACGTTTTGTGGGCGTTGGAGTAGGCTTTGCAATCTTTTTTAGGTCAGTCGATAGGTATTGACGAGAACAATACATTACAGTTAAAATTTTTTTCTAGCTCATAAACTTTTTGACGGTTTGTGGTCTTCAGGGTGAAGTTCGCGTAACAAACTTGCACTGCGTACAAAGATAAGGAATCCAAATCATAAATAAGTACTATAAACCTATTATACAAACGGGTAAAAATATGAATTTAAAGAAAAAACAAGGGAGAACGCTATAGTCGAGTACCTCGACTATCAGATACCCGTTACTCAGCTAAATGGAGATATGCAAGCAGCAAAGCGAGATTAAAATGCGCCACCTACCGGCGGTATACAGATTTAAGCGTTATGGGCGTTAGAGTGGGCGTGGCAAATTTTTTTTGGATCAATCGATAGGTATTGACGAGACCAATACATTTCAGTTAAAATTTTTTATCTAGCATAAAAATTGTGGGCGTCACAGGGTTTTGCTGTTTGTGGGCGTTAAAGTGGGCGTGGCAAACTTTTTTTTGGGTCAATCGATAGGTATTGATGAGAACATTACATTTCAGTTAAAATTTTCTATCTAGCATCAAAACTGTAGGAGCCACAGTTTTGGGCGGTTTGTGGGCGTTAGAGTGGGCGTGGCAGTCTACTGAAACAAACTTGCGCTGCGTAGGAAGCTCAGGAATCTGCACGCCAAATCTCAATAGCCTAGCTCCCATAGTTTCCGAGATCTCAGCGTTCATCCGGACAGACGGACAGACGGACAGACGGACATGGCTAGATCGACTCGGCTAGTGATCCTGATCAAGAATATATATACTTTATGGGGTCGGAAACGCTTCCTTTTGCCTGTTACATACTTTCCGACGAATCTAGTATACCCTTTTACTCTACGAGTAACGGGTATAATAATTCAAACTGTTGAATTAAACTACATTAAACTAAAAAAACTACTGAGGTAAACTAATATTTGTATACCCTTGCAGAGAGTATTATGATTTCAGTCAGAAGTTTGCAACGCAGTGAAGGAGACGTTTCCGACTCCATGAAGTATATATATTCTTGATCAGGATCACTAGCCATCTTTCCGTCTGTCCGTATGAACGCTGATATCTCAGAAACTATAGGAGCTAGGCTATTGGGATTTGACATGCAGATTCCTGAGCTTCTTGCGCTGCGGAAGTTTGTTTCAACAATGTGCCACGCCCACTCTAACGCCCACAAAACGCCCAAAACTGTGGCTCCTACAGTTTTTATGCTAGAATAACAATTTTAACTGAAATGTATTGGTCTCATCAATACCTATCGATTGATTCAAATAGTTTGCCACGCCCACTTTAACGCCCACAAACTTCTCGGAAACTATAAAAGATATATATAAAAGATAGGGAGTTGGGATTACAGATTTACATTTCGTAGCCTTGTACGAACTCTAACGCCAAAAATCGCCCAAATCTGTGGCGCCCACAATTTTCATGCTAGATATAAAATTTTAGTTGAAATGTATTAGTCTCGTCTTTACCTATCGATTGATCCACGCCCACAAAGTGCCTAAGCCTGTGGCGCTCATAACGCCTAAGTCTGTCTACCGCCCATATAACCATATATTCAGATCGCGGGTAGGTGGCGCATTTCAATCTCGCTTGCATACCTCCATTTCCCTTTGGTCCCTTCAGCTGAGTGACGGGTATCTCATACTCGAGGTACTCGACTATAGCGTTTTTCCTTGTTATATTTACATTTTGTAACTTATAGATTAATTTCAGTTATTATTTCGGTTTCAAATTGAAACTAAAAGTGTGTTTACATCATAATCCACGTGTTAAGGTAAAGGAGAGGAAAATAAATTGACAAATGGGAGATCCAACAAGAACAAGAACAAGGGAGATTGTCGTGGTTTTTTTCTTTGAGTGCAATTAAACATGTCGTAAAAGCAAATCAGATTTCTCGACTCCTTTCATTTTCAAAACGAGAAACAATGACAGAGTGATGTTTTACTCACAATATTCAGCTGCATAGCGCCAATACAGGACTTGCTTTGATTATTGCAACAGATTTTAGAAAACAACACCTTATTAGGCTTTCAGAAATCAGCTGTTATTAAATCAAGCCGAAAAATTCTTAGCAGGAAGCCTGAGTTCCTGTCCAAGCTAGCTTTCACATTGACGCTCGAGAAAACCTTAGCAGGTACTATATCTGTCCGACAAGTGTTATTCTGCACTCGAGAATATGGACCTTAACATTGTTCCAAGATTTCAATTATATTTTTTCTTGTCCGCCATCCTCAGGCACAATATGTTTCATCACATACGCAAAACATATGTGTTTATACCCTTGCAGAGGGTACAATAATTTCAGTCAAAAGTTGCAACGCTGTCAAAGTTTGCATCGCAGTGAAGGAGGCGTTTCCGACCCATTAAAGTATATATGTATGTTATTGATCAGCATCATTAGACGAGTCGATCTAGCCATGTCTGTCTGTCCGATTCTGCGCAAACTAGTCTCTTAGTTTTAAAGCTATCGAGATGAAACTTTCAACAAAAGTCGTATTTCTATTGCAGATAGTATATAAGTCGGAACGAGCCGTATCGGACCACTAAATCCTATAGCTGGGAGCCTAGTTCCCATAGTTTCCGAGATCTCAGCGTTCATCCGGACAGACGGACAGACGGACAGACGGACATGGCTAGATCGACTCGGCTAGTGATCCTGATCAAGAATATATATACTTTATGGGGTCGGAAACGCTTCCTTTTGCCTGTTACATACTTTCGGACGAATCTAGTATACCCTTTTACTCTACGAGTAACGGGTATAATAATTCAAACTGTTGAATTAAACTACATTAAACTAAAAAAACTACTGAGGTAAACTAATATTTGTATACCCTTGCAGAGAGTATTATGATTTCAGTCAGAAGTTTGCAACGCAGTGAAGGAGACGTTTCCGACTCCATGAAGTATATATATTCTTGATCAGGATCACTAGCCATCTTTCCGTCTGTCCGTATGAACGCTGATATCTCAGAAACTATAGGAGCTAGGCTATTGGGATTTGACATGCAGATTCCTGAGCTTCTTGCGCTGCGGAAGTTTGTTTCAACAATGTGCCACGCCCACTCTAACGCCCACAAAACGCCCAAAACTGTGGCTCCTACAGTTTTTATGCTAGAATAACAATTTTAACTGAAATGTATTGGTCTCATCAATACCTATCGATTGATTCAAATAGTTTGCCACGCCCACTTTAACGCCCACAAACTTCTCGGAAACTATAAAAGATATATATAAAAGATAGGGAGTTGGGATTACAGATTTACATTTCGTAGCCTTGTACGAACTCTAACGCCAAAAATCGCCCAAATCTGTGGCGCCCACAATTTTCATGCTAGATATAAAATTTTAGTTGAAATGTATTAGTCTCGTCTTTACCTATCGATTGATCCACGCCCACAAAGTGCCTAAGCCTGTGGCGCTCATAACGCCTAAGTCTGTCTACCGCCCATATAACCATATATTCAGATCGCGGGTAGGTGGCGCATTTCAATCTCGCTTGCATACCTCCATTTCCCTTTGGTCCCTTCAGCTGAGTGACGGGTATCTCATACTCGAGGTACTCGACTATAGCGTTTTTCCTTGTTATATTTACATTTTGTAACTTATAGATTAATTTCAGTTAATATTTCGGTTTCAAATTGAAACTAAAAGTGTGTTTACATCATAATCCACGTGTTAAGGTAAAGGAGAGGAAAATAAATTGACAAATGGGAGATCCAACAAGAACAAGAACAAGGGAGATTGTCGTGGTTTTTTTCTTTGAGTGCAATTAAACATGTCGTAAAAGCAAATCAGATTTCTCGACTCCTTTCATTTTCAAAACGAGAAACAATGACAGAGTGATGTTTTACTCACAATATTCAGCTGCATAGCGCCAATACAGGACTTGCTTTGATTATTGCAATAGATTTTAGAAAACAACACCTTATTAGGCTTTCAGAAATCAGCTGTTATTAAATCAAGCCGAAAAATTCTTAGCAGGAAGCCTGAGTTCCTGTCCAAGCTAGCTTTCACATTGACGCTCGAGAAAACCTTAGCAGGTACTATATCTGTCCGACAAGTGTTATTCTGCACTCGAGAATATGGACCTTAACATTGTTCCAAGATTTCAATTATATTTTTTCTTGTCCGCCATCCTCAGGCACAATATGTTTCATCACATACGCAAAACATATGTGTTTATACCCTTGCAGAGGGTACAATAATTTCAGTCAAAAGTTGCAACGCTGTCAAAGTTTGCATCGCAGTGAAGGAGGCGTTTCCGACCCATTAAAGTATATATGTATGTTATTGATCAGCATCATTAGACGAGTCGATCTA